TCTCGGATTCGCTCTTGCTCCTCTCCGACAGCTTCGTATCCTGTCAGTATCTGCGTAGCCTCCAGTTCGGATGATTTCTTTCCCTTTTGGGAATTTTTGGCTGATGTTTTCACATCAGGTTTTGCCTTTGTTAATTGGTTCGCGACTTGTTTATCATCTGTAACACACGCCTTTTGTTTATCTTTTTTCCGGGAGTTTTTGGGGATTACAGTCTGATCAACAGGGGTCATTACTATATCAGGCATTGATGGAAGCTTGATAGGTACTGGATCTGGTGGTTTTTAGAATCCTTGGCATAAAAGATCATCTTCATCAAGCGGCAGATGTGATGCATCCATCAGATAATCTTCAGTGTTCTGAGAATCATCATCATCGTCATCATCATCATCACCCATATCACCAAAATTGCAAAGGAATTGGTGTGAAAAATTATCCCAAGACCTGGACGCAGCATATAGCGCTATAGAAAATATTAGCGAAAGAGTGGTGGGTTGTATATTCGTAGCTTGAGCTTGTGAAGTGAAGTTCGCAGGGTTGGCTGTTTCGCCAAACTTCTGTATCAGTAACTGGGCTTTATCCTTAGGTACTGAGGGGTTTTTTTCAAATAAGTCCTTGAGGAAACCGTCCTGTACAAAAGAACTTAAGTGGTGTGTAAAAGTTTGAAAATAAATTTCGTTAAACTTGGAAACGAAGTCTAAAGCTTCTTCGTTTGTTGTTCGGCTCTTATCCATAGACATTTTTTTTATATATTTATGTAATAAAATTTAATAAAGGGGATTATTTTTTTAAAAAAAATTATTACGCAGAAATTTTTGTAAAAAATGTATTTGGGAAAAAATATACAATTAATTGATGAAGAATTTGACGCTCATAGTAGTTCTGATGAGGATCACATGTCATGACATAATATTTATATTGTATTTTTCCCAATACATACTGATAATATTAAATAAATAAAAAAAAATATTTATATAATAAAATTTTTTTTTATTGATGCAATGTTTGAGGTACCAATCTTTTTGCACCGGCCCATAGCAATATTAAAGGTTGGAAAGAAAGTAAGGATTGATGAATAAGGAGCAATAAAAGATTGTTTTAAAATACTATTGCCTAATTCTAAATCTGCGGGGTTGTCAAAATCAATATTGTTGTTAATCATTAAGTCATAATGATAAAATATATGGGGTGAAAGAAGGTAAAATTATTGGGAAGAACTGGAAATAGATTCAATAAAGCAACCAATACGAGTAGTGAGTGTATCAAGTTTAGAACTAATATTAGTATGAACAGAGTGAAGTTTTTGAACTTCTTAATCATGTGTATCAATATGGCATTTGTAGAAGGTAAAATGTTTGAAAAGACATTTGAGAATCATCAGGATAATCAAGCACCATTATGGTAGAAGTGAAAGAATGGATCTGTAAATAAAGGAGGTTGAAACAAAGAGTCTGGAACTAATATAATGTTCAATTTTAGTCATTCTTTGATCCAAAAGTTCTAAGGCCAAAATCCATTGTTTAACATTAGCCATTTTCTTCGTAATTTCATTGAGCTGATTAGTTTGGTTGGACATATTGGAACTGCCAGGAAATTTCAAAATAGAGCTGTTGCAATTTATTATTTGGCTGAGAAGCAGGATCACATTTATCAGTAGAAAAGGATCGTTCTTTAGATTGAGGATAAGCATGGCCAGATTGTTGATTTTGATTATTGTTATTAGAAGATTTCTGATTATATGATCAGAATTAGCATTCTCTGATGCCTTGAAATGGGATTGATTACAAGACTTAGAATATGCA